TAGTCTTTTCCATGTGATTAGATAGTTCCTAGCATGTTTTTATTTGTCATGCCAGATGGTGCATGTGTATGCATACTAAAGAAAGAGAGTAAGCAAGAGAACCCAGCCTCCCACCCCGATGGAGCCTGGTCACACTTCAACCCTTTTTCCTACAATCCTCCATCCTGTCAGGATCCTGGGCACATAGGCACGTGCTCAGTGTGTCTGTCAAGCCAATGGGGCCAGGACTCCACCCCTGGTGAGCCATGTGGGATCTGCCTTCCTCAGCTCAGTGCCTAACCACTTTACTTCTTGGCTGCCTCCCAGCATCACCTTGGAAGTCAAATGACTAAATCAGCTTGGGGAAGTCACTTAATGTCTCTTAGATTCGGTTACTTTATGTATAAAAGGAGAATGATCATACTAACTTGATAGCATTGCAATGAAGATTAAATAACATGGAGTACACTAAAGGGACTATGGTCTTTTGGTATTCCATAAAAATCTCTTTTTTCTATGAAGAAATAGAAATGCCACATCTCCTAAACCTGTATTACCCAAGAGAGTAGCCATCGGCCACAAGTCACTGTGGCTCTTGAGCACCTGAAATATCTCGTATAAACTGAGATCTGCTGTAGGTATAAGATACACAGCAGATTTTGAAGACTTTTTATGAAGAAAAAATGTAAAATATTGATTACTTTCTAAAATGATAATGTTTTGGATATATTGGGTAAAGTAAAATATATTATTTAATGAATATAATCCTTTTTTTTTTTTAGGAGAACTGAACCAAACAGATTTTATTCAACTTTTTTGGGATGAGGAAAACAAATGATATAAAATAAGTCACAAGAAATGCTCTCCTGTACTACTATCTCAAATCATTTTCAATGCTAATCCTTTTTTTTTTTTTTAGGACAACTGAACCAAACAGATTTTATTCAACTTTTTTGGGATGAGGAAAACAAATGATATAAAATAAGTCACAAGAAATGCTCTCCTGTACTACTATCTCAAATCATTTTCAATGTTTTCCAAAATGCTCACACAGCAAATACAAAAAGCTTCAACACTCTTCTTTTGTAACTTCTCCTGGAATAAATGCAACATTAACACACATACACATTCTTCTGTACCAATCTGAAAAGCTGAATTACAAAATGACTAATTTTTGCGATATTACTCATACATATTTTTATTCAGGTACTTTTAATGAGATTATTGCCAACACATACATTATTTTCCTTAACTTCATTTTTACATTAAGCCAATGTCTGTCATGCAGCCATCAAAAATCTTACATTAAATTACACAGGTTTGTAGTCCAATTTAGACTTGAACTTCTTAGAATCAGCCACTTTTCTGACTGCTTTCGTGAAGTCTTCCTGTACTACAAAATCATGATCAGCACGAATTGCAAACATACCTGCTTCAGTACACACGTTGCTCAGGTCTGCTCCGTTAAAGTCATCTGAAAGCTTCACAAATGCTTCATCATCTATTTCACCATGCTCTGTAAAGGGACTTGCATGGATTTTTAATATATCTAATCTTGCCTGTTCGTTTGGTAAATCAATATCTATCAAATCTTCCTTGCAAAGCAGGATCCAGCGTATCTGGTCTGTGTGTAGCCATGATAATTCTGACTCTATGCAGAGTATCAACTCCATCCATCTGATTCGGTAACTCCATTGAAGTTCTCAGATCTCTCTGTCAGCTGAAGTACCCTCAGAAAATGATCTCTCTGTCAGCCGAAGTACCCTCAGAAAACCGACAACCATCAATAGCATCTATTTCATCCATGAAAATAATGCATGGCTGATGGTCCCTGGCATAATTAAACATTTCTCTGGTCAAACGAGCACTTTTGCCAATGTACTTGTCTGCAATAGAACTAGATACAGCCTTTAAGAAATTGCAGTCCAACTGGCTAGCAACAGCTTGTGCCAAGAGTGTTTTTCCTGTACCTGGCGGCCCATGTAACAAATAGCCTTTGGGGGATATTATTCGTACATGCTGGAACAATTCTGGGTTTGGAAGAGGTAACTCTATTACCTCTCATTAACTCCCGAATCTGTTCTGCCAGTCCTCCAATCTCAGAATAAGAAACGTTCCCAGGGTCCTCATGAGACATGTTGTAAACCAGTGGATTCGCCTCCCTTGGCAAATATCTCATGATAGTCAGTGTAGTCATATCCAAAGCAACTCTTGTTCCTGGCTTCAGCTTACTTTTGTCAAGCTGTCGACAACCCACAACATATCTTGGACCATTTGTAGCTTTAACAATACATTTTTCTTCAGTTAATTGCTTAAAGACTTCTCCCACAATCTGCCCAACACTTTGTAGGACCGTCAGATCATTTTCAGACTTTTCATACTGCTTGGTAAGTTCTTTTACTTGTTCCCTTAACTCCTTAAGATGGCCATCGATCTCCTTGTGCTCCAGCAGCTTCTTGAGGTAGTTCTGAAGTGCCTTATCTCTAGGGTCTGCCATAATGAGAAACCGTCCTAATCTGTTTATTTTTAATATTTTTTAAAATGGGAGCAAATTTTAAATTATACATGTAGCTCACATTGTATTTTTATTGGGCAGTGCTTTAAAACATTCTCAAGGTAGATGATCTGGCATTCCCAGAGATTTTGCTTAGTGGGCTGTCTCCTATAAATTTATCTACAAAAAAAAGCTAGAGCATGATTCAGTGATGGATACAAAGACAATGTGGACTGATTTTCAAATGTCTAGGGCTGTTAACATTCAATACTCAAGACATCCAGGTAGTTGCTTTATCCTCATTTGGGAGGAAGTGGGGTGGATTTTTGCAGGAGTGTTCTGTGAGAAGTACATTACAGGAGCTCAGTAAATATTAACTACAATTGCTTTTACTTCTCCAGCTTAAGGTCACATAATTATAACCCTAGAAAAACACCAGATGTCTGTCTTCTAAGATTGGAAATAATGAACTATTTCCACTGTTGCGCAACATAGTATTAGTGTCTTAGTCCAATTAATGAGAGAAATCAATGAAAAGAACAAGAATCTAAAGGGAAAAAAACTACCCATATTTGCAGAGAATGTGCTAGCGCATTTGTTTGCTAGGGCTGTCATAACAGAATACCATAGTGTGAGTGGTTTAAACACCAGAACCTTATAACTTTGTTTCACAGTTTGGGTGGCTGGGAGTTTAATATGAAAGAGTTGGTGTCTCTCCTTGGCTTACAGATGGCCACCTTCTCACTCACAGTCATTCTTCTTTGTCAGCACATTCTTGATGTCTATTTTGTGTATTCAAATTTGCTCTTCATGTAGGGATAGTAGGCAGATTGGATCAAGGCCTAGCCTAACGGCCTCATTTTAACTTAGTCACCTCTTTAAAAGCCTTGTCTCCAAATGCAGTTACATTCTGAGGTTCTGGGGCTTAGGGATTCAACATGTAAATTTTGGGTAGACACAATTCAGCTCATAATTGCAAGTATATTTGGAAAACCCTAGAAACCAATGATAAAACTAACAAAAACAATAAGAAATTCAATAAAGTAGCAGGATATAAAATTTCACATAAGGGGCCAGCAAGTGTTGTGGTGGTTGAGGCACTGGACTCCAACATCACAGACTGTGGTTCAAGTCCCAGACCTGGTGGCTTGCTTTCTCTCTTTCACTCTCTGTCTCTCTCTAGTGAGCACATTTGCACTATAGCAAATTAATAATAATAATAACAGAATTTAATAAATATAATAAACAAAATTTAACATCAAAACCCCAAGAATAAGAATTCCATGGGGCTGACAGGTGACACGGTGGTTAAGGGCACTAGACTCCCACATGGCCAACTGTGATTTGAGTCCTGGACATGGTGGCTTGCTTTCTCTCTCTCTGTCTCTCTCTCTCTCTCTCTCACTCTGTCCCTCTCTGATCAAATTAAAAATAAATAAATAAATAAATAAGTAAAGTTAAAATAATTCTTTAAAAAAATGAATTAGAATTCTAAAAAATGACCAGTCAGGAGATAGAATGGTAGAGAAAATTTCATTTACAACAGCAATAATGAAAATTAAATACTTTGGTATAAACTTTTTAAGCTTATTCCTGTTAGAAACATGCAAAATATACATAAGGAAATTTTAAAAACACAAAAGTAGAGTATAAGAAATGGGGGAAATATCTCCTATTGTAGGATAAGATAACTCAATGTGAAAAAGATATATCTGTTCTCTCTAGGTTACTTTACAAATTTAATGAAATACTAATAATAACAAGCTTTTTTTCCTTTCCACTCTTTTTTTTTTCTTTGTTGTTGAAACAAGTTGGTAATAAAATTTATGTAGGAAATCAAGCACATAAGAGTGGACAGAAAAAAGTACAAGGGGAGATTAGCTTCACTGGACATTAAAACTTACCACAAAGTATCTTTAATTTTAAAAGCATGGTATCAATGTATTAACATAAATACAGTATACATTAGTAGAAAAGAATAGAAATTCCACAAATAGACATAAGTTAATGTAAATATTAACTAATATTAATTAGTGTTGATAAAGGTAGTATCTCACATTAGTAAAGCAAAGTTTTTTTTTTTCTATAGGGTGCCTACACTAGCCAAAGAGAGACAGAGAGAAGGAACATGAGAAATCACTCCTCATGGGGGATGGTCAAATCCTCCTGGGATTTTGGGTGCGTTTTCACGTGAGCCTAGCATGATTTTTTTTTTGGGGGGGGGAGAGGTTTTTGCCATAGGGCGTGTGCGTAGCCAGACAGACAGAGAGAGACAGAGAGACAGAAAGCAAGAAATCACCCCCGCCAGGGGAATGGCCACATCACAATCCCTTCTCCTCCATTCTCCTCTTGGAATCTTGGGCACGCATGCACAGACGCCCGGCGTGTTTTAAGCCACCAGGTCTGGGACACGAACTGCGATCGACAACATAGGAGTCCAGCGACATAGTCATTACACTAATTGCTGATCCCAAGCCTAGCATGATTTTCAAGCCTTCAGATCTGGGACAAAAACTGGTAGGCAATATGGGAGTCCAGCCACTATGCCACATGCTGACCCCAAAGATGATCTTTTAAATAAATGGTTCTAGCTCTCTGGGCTCGGACCTAGTTGGCGGCGCTATGGCTAAACGCACCAAGAAGATTGGCATCGTCGGTAAATATGGGACTCGCTATGGTGCCTTCCTCCGGAAAATGGTGAAGAAAATTGAAATCAGCCAGCACACCAAGTACAACTGCTCCTTCTGTGGCAAAGCTGAGATGAAGAGACGGGCTGTGGGGATCTGGCACTGTGGTTCCTGCATGAAAATGGTAGCTGGTGGTGACTTGACCTACACCACCACTTCGGCTGTCACAGTGAAGCCTGCCATCAGAAGGAATTGAAAGACCAGCAGACGCTCCGTAGACATTTGGAATATCACTAGCCTACAATAAATGGGTTAATTTATGTAACCAAATAAATAAATAAATAAATGGTTCTGGGACAAGTGGATATTCATTTGGAGAAAGATAGAATTAGAGCCTTATATCATACCATACACAAGAATAAATTCCAAATGGATTAGAGTTAATGTAAGATATGAAACCATAAAAGTACCAGAAAATAAATCATGGGTGAATTCCTTTTAACCTAAGAAGTTAAGTCAACTCTGACTCAAAATCCAGAAACAAGAATAAAAACATGACTACATTAAAAATAACAAACAGACTAACAAAAATCACCTTAAACAAATACACAAGACAACTGACAAACTGGGAGAAAGTATTTGCAAAATATGCCACCAATGACAGGCTAAAATTCCTAATACATAAAGAACTCTCAAAAATTGAGGGACAAGCATCAAAAATCTAATAGAAAAATAGGGCAAGTAATGAACTGAAAAATTAATCAAAGACAAAAATATAAAAGTATCTCTTAGGGCCAGCAGGTGGCTTGGTGGTTGGACTGCTTGACTCCCAGGTGGCTGGCTACAGTTTGAGTCCCAAACTCAGTTGCTTGAAATTCATGTCAGGTGCATGAGTGTACATGGCCAAAATCCTGAGAGAATAGAGAAGGGATTGCAGGATCACCGTCCCCCCGAGGGGTGCTTTCTCATTTTCTGTCTCTCTGTCTTCTGGTGAGTGCATGTACCCTAAAACCAAAAACAAAAACGAAACAAAACTCTCAAAAAAAAAAAAAAACCCTTAAATATAAAAATAAAAATAGTTCAGACTGAATATTTGTCTCCATATGGTAAGGATAAAGACAAAACAAAACCTGTATGCAAATCTTATCTTCTAATGAGTAAATGTATTTTTCATAGGAAGATGATTAACATTCCTTTTTTTATTTTTAAAATAATTGCACAATGAATATTTTTTCAACAGTTTTTTTTTTTTTTTTGGTACAGAGTGCATGCACTCACCAGAGAGACAGAGAGACAGAAAACGAGAAATCACCCCCCAGGCGGGATGGCCATGCTGCAAGCCCTTCTCCATTCTCTTCTTGGGATCTTGGGCACGCATACACACGCGCCCAGCATGAGTTTAAGCTACCGGATCTGGGACTCAAACTGTGGTCAACTACTTCAGAGTCCAGCAACATAGTCATTACACTAAGTGCTGGTCCCTTTTTTTCAACTTTTAAAAAATGTATTTATTTATAGTCACTCATTGTACATCAATAGTATACAAAATGAGATTTCCCACTCAGAATATATTATATATTGGCTCAATCGAGGATATTACCATACATGTTATCATCAACAAATAATTTTCTATTTCTTGTTTCTTATACATTTTGCTTTTTAAAATTTTCCCCCTTGATTCTCTACTCTCACCCTCTGCCAATTCCTTCCCTTATCCCACACTGTCTCCGGTATCTACAGTTTTTTCATGTCTCTTTTTTTTTCATATTTTATTGATTCACTAAAGGTCTTAAGTTAAAAACTTTCAATAGCAAGCACAGTTGATATATACATATCTACAGATACATGTCTGACTTCAGGAGTAAACTTCAGTGAGTAAAATAAACATACCATAAAGTAGCACCTTGCTGGGGCTATATAGCTTACTGCACTCATTAAAAAGATATTAATAGGTTTTTTCAATGCATTTTTTTAGTTTCAAGAAAAATAGTTTTAGTTTTAGTAGATCAAAATAAAAAATGTTAAGAGAAATTTGCTCAAAACTTAAAGTTAGGAAAAAAGGCTAGGATTCAGTTCAAATAGTAGGTAGATGAACCTATCAACAGTTCAAGAGAAGACAAAACTCCTTAAATATGGAAATCAAAGTGTTGAAAATCAGTAGAGTCAAAAAATTCTATTTCACTAGTGCAGATTCATGTAATTAATCTCTCTTCTATCGAATTTGCAGTGTTACTGTGGCTGATCTTTCCATTAAATCCTGGAAGCTAACATTCAACATTATTATTGATATTTCTGAACTTGTCCCTACCATAAAGTTGGCCATTTTCTTGGTCATTTTTTTGTTCTCTTATTTCTGTTTTTCATTTTACTGGTATAGCACTCCCTTCAGCGCTTCTTGAAGAGCTGATGTTGGTAAATTCTTTCATGTTTTGTTTATCTGAGAATGTTTTGGGCTTTTCTTCCCATGTGAAGGATAATCTTGCCAGATATAGTATTCTTGGTTGAAATTGTTTTTCACTTAACACTTTGAATACACTTTCCCATTCTTTCCTTGCTTGCGTTGTTTCCAACAAGAGGTCTGATCCTGATGGGATATCCTTTGAAAGTAACTTGATTTTTCTCTCTTGCCAATTTTAGTATCTTGTCTTTGTCTGTGGTTTTGGTCAGTCTGGCTATGATGTGACTTGGGGGAAGATCTTCTTGAGTTGAATCTATGTGGGGTCCTTTGTATTTCTTGGGTCTGGATATTTGAGTGCCTCTCTAGGTTTGGAAAGTTTTCTTCCAGGATTTCATGGACCAGATTACCAATGCCCTTATTAGTTTCTTCGCCTTCTGGGATACTGATGATCTGTATGTTTGGGCATTTAATGTTATTCTCATTTTGGGGGTTTGTTTTCTCAGTCACCTTGGTGAATTTTTCTAGGTCAGAGGTTCTATCTTCTATATCTGAGATTCAATCTTCTGCATGATCTAATCTGCTTTGGATATTTTCAAGGGAGGTTTTGATTCCCTGTAGTACAGCCTTCATCTCTAACAATTCCATCTGATTCTTTATTATGGTGTGTATCTCCTCTTTCAGATCAGGCAGGAACTTCCTCACCTCCTGGAACTTGGTGTCTCTTTTTTCTTGCACTTTCTGGAGTTCGTTATCTCTCTTCTCTTGCATCTCTGTTAGCTTTGTCACTATGAATATTTAAAATTCTTAATCTGACATTTCCATGATTTCCCTTGTATTCTCTGTGGAGGAAGAGGAATTATTCTTTTCCCTTAGAGGAGATATATTTTCTTGGTTTCTTATATTTCTTGTGCCTCTGTGGTGGTTTCTGTTCATCTGATGGATTATACACTTTTTCCTAGTTTTTGGAGTTAAATCTGAACTTCCAGAGGAATGCAGAAGGAGGTGACATACAATCTCTAAACAGTACCGTTTTTCTCCCTTCGCACAGCTGATTCAGTGAAAATTGAGGATTAATCTGATATTAACCTAAAGTATTCAGATATTTGGCTACTGAGCACCTAGACCTGTCAAGAAAATCAGTGTGTGGAGGCTGAGCAGAAAAGTGAGAAAGGTAAAAAGAAAAGAGAGAGAGAGAGAACCAAAAAAGAGACAAAAAGAAAAACAAAGAAAATAATTTTTGGCAAAAAATGTAAACCACGGTGTGCCATGTGAATGGGGCCGCTCAGAACTCAAATATAGATGGCTGCTGATTGGCTTATCCTATGGGGGCAGGGAGAAAGGTAAGAATTAAGACGAGAGGCAGCAAGCTAAGAAGTTGAAAAAGATTTTTAAAAATTGAAAATATACATAGAGAGAGAGATAATAAGTAGAGTGCTCTAGCCTAGATCCTTGGCTAGATTAAGGGGCGGTGGGGGGGAGGAAGGAGCAGAGGATGAAGTCTGAGCAGAGGGTCTTAGGTGGTCCTGATCCCTGAATGGGGCCACTCAGAACTCCACAGGGAGATGATTAACATTTCTGAAGTTAGTTACAGCCACACTAGGACTAAGCAAATAAGAAAATGTTTTTCGAAATAGGCAAGTGGAAATGGAAATAAATTTAGAGGCATGTGTGTGTATGGGGGGGGGCATGCATGTGTATTTCCTATGTCTGTTGAGGGGACCTAGAAGGAATGACATCACATTTGCAATGACTACATCTAGTGTCCAGATCTTGGCTTCCAAGTACCATTCTCCAATGAAAGGAACTATGGTTCATCTGAATCCAAGGCTGGGGCAGGGAAAATACAACACGAGCCTGGGATATCTTATGATGTCAGAAAGTAAGGAAGTGCTCAAAGAAAAAGGACAGAGAACCCAAACTGATTGAAGGCAGAAGAAGTTGAGCAACATTTAGAACCCAAACTGGAAGAGTTCCCCTGATTGAAGGCAGAAGAAGTTGAGCAACATTATAAAAACTTCAAGTATTAGAATATATATAATTATAAATGACCAGGTAGAATAAAATAAATATCCAGTAGCTCATATTGTTATATGTAAATCATAAAGAAAGAAATAGTTGGGGAGAAGGGAAAGCTCTTCCTTATACTATTTCAATTAATACATACAAAAGGAAGGGGAAAATAGAAAATTATCATTGGGCAACATTACACTATCAAACAAGAGCCCTCGATGAATGCTAAAATCAGTAGGGAAAAATACGATGAAAAGCATAATATTTGCACAGTAGAAAGTATAAACCCACAAGATATGTATTACTTACAAAGGAAAAAATGGTAATTTTCTAGGGGAGAAACTTACCACATTAGCCAAATGGTTGTTAACATCACCAGCACTAAGACGTAATTACTACAATATGATGCGTAGAGAAAAGTCTAGCATCACTTCTGTGGTGTTCTTGCCACGATTGTATAATCTTAATCTAATCATAAGAAATCATCAGACAAACCCCAAAACTGAGAAATTGTCATAGGCCAAAGGAGACCAAGTAGACATAATTACTAAATGCAGTATGGAATTCTGGATAGAATTCTGGACAGGAAAAGGGATATTAGTGGGAAAACTGGTGAAATTCAGCTAGTATTTATAGTTTAGTTAATAGCGTTATATCAATGTCAATTTCTTGCTTTTGATAATAGGATTAGTTAAGTTATGTAAAATGTTAACATTAGGGGATGCTGAATGAAGGTACCTTATATTATTTTTGTAACTTTTCCATATGTAAAATTACTTTTAAAAAATGTTAGGGGCCAGCAGGTGGCATGGTGATGGTGCTGGACACCCACATATCTGTTCGTGTTCTGAGTCCTG